ACTCAACAGCCGCATTGGATGGAGGTTGTGTCATGTCGCGAACTGATGGAAGTAGAAAGTGTGGACCACTAAATTCCAACATAGAGGCTCAATAGCAGCTTGCTAGTTATAGAACCTGAAGTTCCTGGGTTCGATTCTCGGTGGGGTCATGGATGTACACTGCTGAGGAGTCCCACACTAGGAAGAAACAGCTGTCAACTTCTGTCAGGCTTTCAACGGTTCTCCAACTGATGTTCGCTTGTGATGAGTGACAACTTACTACTTAAATTGTATGTTATAAGGCTGCAGCACGTTATGTTTTCTATCAGTGAGCCTTTTCACGTTTGAATTCTGGCGGTTTGTGGGGATTTAGAGATATTTTGTGTTGGTATTCATCGTATACTGACTCACATTTTTCTGATATAAAATGCAACTTTCGGGAAACGCGAAGTGCCAAACGATAACGAGCGTAGGTAGTTGTCAATGAATGTCTGTAGTTTGTTGGATGTGCGTTTTGTAACGCACCGAGTCTCTGAACCATATAGAAGCACTCACTTGGCATTAGTGTTTAAAATCCGGATGTTGTTTTTTGTGTTGAGTGCAGTAGATCTCCACACTGGTTTCAGATTAATGAAAGCCTGTCTTGCTGTCTTTCCGATTCTGCCTCTTACATCCTCATCTGTGCCTGTGCTCCTCGTAGTTGGGATTATGCTCCCTAGGTAGGTGAAAGAGACTATTTCCTTTAGGTTTCTTCCGTTGATGGTGATTGGAGCTTGTTGTTGGTTGGGTATCTTCATCACCTCCCCCTTCCCTACATTTACTTGAAATCCCGCCCTCGCTGCCCTACCCTTTCTGTCAACTTGTTAGTTTTCGCCTGTAGATCTCCGAGTTTGTTCGATAAGACATTAGACATAAATCATCATAGTTGGCGAAATCCGAATGTTCTAGGGTCTTTTCATCGGCCCAACCAGCCTATGCGCATCTTCTCATAGCTCCTCACTGTTTTTTGCATGATTCAGTCAACCACAATCAGGAAAATCATCATTGATAGTAGGTGGCAGCCTTGTCTTCCTTCTGTCTTCGCTTCGAAGGCTTTACTGAGTTTTCCATTGTGAATCACTTGGCATAATATAGCATATAGCTGCTGTTGAATAAGGTTGAAAAAGGTTTGGGGCACTCAAACCATTGTGTTTAAGCAGCCATCAAATTACTTCTTGGTCAACGCTATCGAAAGGCCTTTTCAAAATCGATGAAATTGGGGTAGGAAGTTGACTGTCATTCTACACTCTCTTCATTGATGATGAGTAGTGGTGTAATTCGATCCGCCCACTATTTGTACTTCCTGAATCCAGCCTGTTCCAGTCATAAATTTGAATCCAGACCATTTTTTAGTCTCTCCTATATGAAGCGTCATTATATTTTGCTTAGGGTGGACATCAGTGGGGCATGATTCCACGCCAGTTCTTGCAAAGACTGTGGTCTCCCTTGTTTGGGAGTTTGACGAGGTAGCCCTTCTTCCAATCAACGGCCAGGTACCTTTCCTTCCTTTCTTTCAAACCTTCTACAGTAGTGGTCTGAGCATGTCTATTGATGTCCTTGAGTCTGTTTTCAGTGCATCTGGAGCAATTTCATCTGGTATTGCTGCTTTCCTGGATTTCAGCAACTTTATGGTGTCCAGGACTTCACTTCTGTTTTTGTCGGAAGTCTTGTGTTCACTTCTATTACTGTGGCTGGGCTACTGATGGTATTTCTGGACTAGTTGCAGGTGGTGGTTGTGGTGATCCTCTTTGGTAACTAGTTTTCCTACACTATCTTCCATTGGTTTCATCTGAGTTGATTTTTTTCCCAGATAGTAACCTGGTTATTTGATACAGTGTTGTCAGGCCTCCCCTACATGCAGTCTCGACTGCTTCATTTGCCGGTGTGTCGTAGAAGTACCTTTTGTCTTTGAGCGCACTGTTCTTCACTTCTTTATCCAGTACTTTATATGTTGTGTTCAGTTCCTCTTTTCGTTTTTCATCTTCGCACTGCACTGGTTCATTTTTGTTTCACCATCTTCCACTCCCTCCTCTGTCAGCTTCCATGTGTCCGTCGAGTTTCATTCCTTGTCTCGTCTTTCTTCTTCTTCCTTCCTAACACGGTTATTTAGGTTTCCTTCCACGTCTCTTTGAGAGAGCTCCAGTGTTCTTTCACATAGGTTTCCCAGGTAATATTGCCTAATGTCTCCTATTTTGTCTTGATGGCTGACTGATGTGAAGATGTCCTTCGAAGTTTCGTCTTTCAATTTCTGTTCTGGGTGTTCAACTTGAGCTGTGGCATATCACCAACTTCTTTGAAGGCTTTCAGCTTGATTTTGCAGGTAGGTTCCTTTCACTAGATGGTGAGTGTTGGGAACCTCCATCTACTCCCCTTCGTGATCTTCTGATCTTGTGTCCAGTAGGCTGGCTACGTCTCCACTTTCTTCAAATTTTGATGAAGTTGATGTGATTTTTTTCGTGTTCATCTGGTGAGATCTTGTCGCTGCCTTGTGAATGTTCTTGTGTTTGTGCACACTTCCTCCACTCACCAAATGGTTGCATGCGAAGAAATCTGCAAACAGTTCTCCATTCTCGTTCATTTCACTCAGTGTTTCTCGATCCATGATGAGTTCTTTTCCTGTGTTGTCTGCTCTTAGTTTGGCATTCATGCCGCCTACTAGAATTTTGATATCGTCTACTGTCGTCTAGTCCACTATTGAACTAAGTTGTCTGTAGAATTCTTCCTGCTCCTTTTGACCTGCATTATCTGAAGTTGCATAGCGTAGCGAGGCATTGTCTGATTGTGACCTTCCTTCCTTTTGAGTTGAACCTTGCTGTCATGATCCTGGAAGAGATTGGTCCCCACTGCATGGGAGAGAGCCTTCGATGCTCTTAGGGACATCATGATAGCCACTCGAAAGCTCAGTGTGTTCGTGGTTGTCGTCTGGGTGACAATACCGGAGTAGATTATTAACTCTCCAGTTGATGGTTTGGAGAGTCCACTCCCATTCCATCTACTCTCGCAGATTCCTAGTATTGCAGTGTCATACTTCCTCATCCCTTTTGCAGTCTAGCAGCCTTGCAAGCTAGCTAGTTCCAAATATGGTATGAACATTCCATGTCCATGTGCTTAGTTCGCTTTCATCGAGATAAGCGAAGAAACATCGGCCAATCCGCTTGCCGATGGCTTTCACCAACCGGCGTCATTTCGTCTATCCGATTCAGGCGGGGAATAAGTTTATTTTTGTTTTTCATATTTTTTTCATGCTTTTAAGCTTATTTAGCGATTGGATTGGTTTTACAGTGTTGGGTTGTTAGCGATATGCTAAACCTTCCCTCTTTATCCGGGCTTAGAACGGACTAGTAACTAGTGAGCTAGTTAACTTGTCGAGGTTACCACTGAAGATTGATAAAGGTTAATTTTTTACTAAAAACTGATAGCTGAAGAACTGTTTCATTTTGTCCATAGGTGATCATACATCAATTATTTGAGGTTGACGCCTTCAACCACTGAAAAACAGCTAATACCATAAGCATAAGAGATTGTATTAACGGTAGAAGTTTAAAATTTTGATTTGCTTGTAAAAACGGGTTTTTTTGTATATTTTGATAAGTATTTTTCAAATGCAACAAAAGTGTTTCTCAAGTGATATATATTTCAAGTTGTTATTCATCGTAGACTGACATCAGTTGGAGGAACAAAGGAAACCTGGGAGCACTGGACAGCTGTTTCGTCCTAGTATGGGACTCCTCAGCTGATGTCAGTCTTCGATGAATAACAACTTGAAATATTTCCAAATCTCCACAACTCCCTCAAAAATTTAATTGATATATATTTGATATGAATTCATGTTCATATGAACAAAATTGTTCACCTAAACTAAGTTTAATTTTAACTATGACCAATAAGAAGAAAAATAAGGAGAGAAAATATATGGGTCAGTCTTTGTGAAATTTAGTGATTCTAGATTATTCGCCAAAAATCAGCACCAAGTAGAATGAGGGTCACTGCAGATTAAAGAACGCTGGGCAAATGTTTCAGCCATTCTTGGAATTCGTTAAGAGAAAGTACTTACTTTCAGGAACAGAGGCGAACGTAAAACTACCACCCCCATAGTGAGCTAATAAGCAAAAGATGGAAATCTCTAATAACCATAGTTTTCTCCCTTATGCAGAAGTTTGTAGTAAAGATGTGCTAGCAGTGATAATCATCGCTTATTTTAAAGAAGAAATCTTGACACAAAACACATTCCCTAGGAAAAATATGACACAAAATGTGAAGAATACAAAAAATTTATGCGAAAGCTCAAAACATTGTATTTATGATAGTTGGTGCATAAATAATAAATTTATTTACGACTGTCTCTTAAAAATAAATAATTTATTATTATAATTTATAATTATTTTTGTCGTATGACTAAAAGGAACAAACTTGGACAGACCAGATATTTGCCTTGGAATAATGTTTTATGGCTTTTTAAAACATCTGATTTATTACAAGTTGTTGTGTATTTGGGAGGTAAGGATTTGTTTAACTTGTAAACAGCTAGAACAAAACAGCATTCTTGATAAAACTTGTGAAAGACCGATGACTTCCTGCTATACCGAATCAGAAATTAACCATAGTAATACCATGTAACATAGGGATCTCGAGACATATGAAAGACATTTCTTGACTTTACTCGAGTACCACTATAAACGTCCACCTGCGTACACACCTATGTTGAACATTTTGCCTTTCGAACACCTGCCTAAGTAAGTATAAAAACTTCCTCCGGTTACTTGAGACAGGTTCATCTTAAAAGCCTGAGCTCAGGCTGCATGTGTGTGCTTCAAATGGAAGTTGTCCACAATATATATGCTTTACTTTACTGTTTCACATACACAAGGTCTCATAATTTCTTTCAGCCTTGAATAATATATCATACTTCAGATAAAAAGTTGTGTTTGAAAAAGATTTGGTAAGTGACCTAATCTTTTAAAACTTTGTTTTTAAAATTTCAGATTTCGGTGGTGAAGATCACACCAGTGATGAAACTGAAGGTGAGGTTAGTTGGATAGAAGGTGTTGCGATACTCTGCGCTGTTGTTGTAGTAGTTTTAGTAACCGCAACTAATGACTGGCAGAAAGAAAGACAGTTTCGTGGCCTTCAAGATAAAATTGAATCAGATCACAAAATGTCCGTTGTTCGAGATGGTGAGATTACTGAAGTATTAGTTGGTGATATTGTTGTCGGAGAAATCTGTTTGGTTAAGTATGGTAAGTATTATCATTTAACTGTTTTGAAGAAGTATAGTAGGAGTTTGTTTTAATGATTGTGGAAACTGAAACATGAAATTTTTCTGTGCGTGCCCTGATAACAGGAATTTTCGCTCCTTTTTTAAAATACAGATACTGAAAATCTTGCCCACTTTAAGTAGGCGAACGTTTTCACTTATGTAGATATGCTGTAATAGAATACTGCTTTAAAGAAAATGACAACACTTTTTAATCCAACCATCTAAATACATGGATTAAGATAGGATCATTATGAATAATTAGAATGGGGTAAATTTGAACACAGTTGTGCTATTCACTGATATGCAACGACCATGTGGAAAACTTTCACTCTAGCAAATGACATTCAAGAATGGAAAGAAGACAATTCACTGGGATTCCAAGGTTTTAATCATCATGGGCTAACATCATATGGAGTACGATTGAAAAACCTGAGAGCACTTGACAGCTGTTTCGTCCTGAAAAACGGGTCATCAGCATTGCTCACTGGTGATAGTGCCGAATGGTCAAATTCAGGATCATTAGGTTTCATGATGAACACTCGAACATTTGGTTGTATCGACTGTTGGATTTGAAGGTAGTTATCTTTGTTAGGAACGCGAAGTTCAGTGAATGTATTGCCTAATTTCTGAGTCAGAATTAAAATCAAAGTTTTTATGAAGGACAATCTTGATTTGTTATTGGGATTGACGACGAGTTACTTTACTAAAACAGATATATTTATTCACTGTCACCATGACCTAGTAGGCATAAATATCAAGAAAACTGCACTTTCACTTGTTTGTCACAATCATGTTCTTATGAATATTCTTGGAATGAATATTCACACAAAGACAACTTTTGACCTACAGCACTAGTTTGTGCGAAGCTTCTTCGCTTTGTCTTAATAATCGCTGGGATTAATTAATCCAATCACTAGGTAATTAATAGGTATAGTCGGCTTTGGAACTGCTACCTTGTCTAATTTAAAGTGTACCTAATATGTATTTATCTTTGCGTTACTAATAAATATCTTTGTACACAACGTAGATTATTGTTCTTTGTTTGTAAGAAAACATCAATCTTTGAACGACCTTTACTTTTGACTTTGCTTCATTTTGATCTCTTGAATGTCTCTTATTATATATTTTTTTAATCACATTCATTATTATTCTATTGACCCGATCCGATCGTATTCAATAGGGGAAAGATACTAGTAGGTTAACCTCAGATAACATTATTATAGCTATTATAGAACTGCTTATCATAGGTATAACAATGTTACTAAACGTGTTCTAGTTTTCGTTATACTACCTTATTCACCTTCGTCTCACTTTCTCATATCTATTGCTCAAGCCATTTATCTTCATTAGCCTCTTTCGAGATTACCGCTTTTTGATTTTTAGAAAAAAAATGCAGATTTGCATTTCTTTCTGAGCAGAATAAATCAATTGACTAATTCAATTATATTTTCAGCAAACTTTGTACATGGATATATTTTGTAAACCTCACGTTCTTCTTAATCAGACTATTTGTTTATCTTTATTTTGAGGAGGAAGGGGACCTCATGATGCTACAGAATGTGTACATACCACTGATTTTCATGTACACTAGTATTCATATATACTAATTATTCGAATCTGAGTATACTTAAGTAATTAAGTATATCAAGTAGTTACAGTAAAGGAGGAAATCGAATTAATCTCCATTTTCTTCTTTCCTAATTTAATTTTAATTGAAGGTTTGGAATGAATTTTCCAGGAAGAATAATCGCATAATTTATATAGTTTATTTCTTTCTATTCATACTGGATTTATTTCCAAACAACTTCAATGCTTAATTAAATCCTGTATTCCTGGCAAATGCATACATGTTGATGTAAGAACAGACTGACGTAGTTTATTTCATTTATTTCCAAGCTTTCTGTCATAAATGAGTTCACTGCTGATACAGGTCACCTACTACTACTAAAAGGTTTTGGGTATATATGCACTGCACTTTTACTACTCATAGCTTATAATGAAAACGAATAAAATAATAAGAATGTAAATTCATTTTTAAGAAAATAATAGTTTTCAACTTAGAAGTATTTTGATGCATTCTTATGGAAAGAACATACATAAGCTTTTATGCTATACAAAACAATAAGAGTTAAATAGTTGGACAGGAATAGTAGAACTATACATAGTTTGACGTTTTTTGCACCAGTCAGTGATGCCTATTTTTAAGTATGAGAAGGAACTCATGTTGCCCTTTGTGATTTGAACCTGCGTCATTCCTTTCCTGATATAGATATTCACCGTAGCCATTTAAATTGCGAGTGTTTAATACAATGTAGAGAAATTGATCATCGGATAGTAAACAGTATACTTGTTAAGTTCAAATTACTAACCATAATTGATCATCCAAATATAAGATGTGGTCGCTTAGCTAAGTAAGGTGACTATGCAGTATACCTTGTCTGTCTGATTATAGACTAAAGGATGCAGTTGACAAGAAAACGAGGTGATTTCTTTCTTAACACAGCTTAACTAAAGATAGGTTCAAGACTGTGAGTTCGTTAAAGTTTCAAAATGAAACGAAAGTAGATTTATGTTTGGAGTTTCCACTTCAAAATGCAAATATATGCACAGAAAATATGGAATTTTATACAGAAAGCTAAAACACCATATGATGGCTTATGGCCTCACCCATAAATTCCACAAAACAGCTTATATCAATGGTATATATTTTGTTTGAACTTGTTGTGATCATATAATAATTAAATTTGAAATAAAAATCTGTATCACGGTAGTGTGCATCAACTATTTAGTGACTGAGTCATCAGTTGGGTGATTTAGCAAACAATATCCACTATCTAGTAATCTTGAGGTCAGTACTTTGAATCTTGTTGGATCTCAGGTTTCATTTTCTAGTTCGCTCATCACCCATTCGTATTTACACGACTCTACAAGACTGAGGTTGTGAAAGATAGGTTTATTAACAATCTAGGCATTAGAACTAATGCTTTGTCCGTAATACATCTGATGTTAAATGAATGGAAAGTGATTATAAGGAGAAAAGTTATTATTTCGGATAACAACTTTCTTTCCTAAACAACGGGGAGTTATATAGAAGATTTAGTTGTTTATAAGATGTGTATAATATGTTCATTTGATAAAAAGAGCTGAAGAAAACCCTATTTATGTTCAAAAATCAGACTAAGATTTAGTGAAATGAAAAAAAATCATTTTATGTACCATTCAAAGCTTTTAAAGTAACCGGATGTATTTGAAATACAGACTTAAAAGCAAAACTGTTCTTTGCCATTTACTTCCCTTGAAATAATATCAAAAGACAGTGGATTATACACCGAAACTTATTTGCAATTCATTGATGTTAAACACTGTAGATATTGCTAAGCGTTGTCAATAAGAACACTGCACAGGTTGTATAGAAGAAGATTTGTAGCAAACTGAAAACTATAGAGTACTTAACTGGTTGACTTTCGTTACAGTTTGAGATGAAATTTTGTTCGATCTATCCTACTTCCGCTAGCCTAGAAATATGTTATTTTATGTTGTCTTATATGTATCAGCAGCTTACAAGTGTTGAAGCTAGTTTAATTCGCTTTGTACAAGCAGGTAAACTGATAGCTACATAGTAACTTGCTTGTTAAAACTTACTAACTGACTAGAAGTGTATACAATAGTAACGTTTCACCTTTCTAATGAGACGTATCCCACTGCAATTGACAGTCCACCTAATCTGCAATTTACTTACTCGTAACTTAGTTTCTCATCAGTCATTTCTTCAGAGCAAGAAGAAAAAAGTCCGTTAAAAAGTTTCTTCTTTACAAGTTTATTTTCGTAAGTAGGCTAGCTATTTAATGCGAAAAGGTCAACATGTATATTTGATTCCATTACCAGTTTTACTGAATAAAGAAAAGAAATTCATCTAACTATTCTTCTACTTACCCAATATTTTTATCATTAAGGTTTTTACTTTTCATATCTCTATACAATTATACAATAAGTAGACTGGCCAAAGATGACCATCAAATTGTGTTCGTAGGGGTTTGATAAAATAAGTTGATGGTAAGTAACTAGGCTACTTTTTTGATTGCACTATCTCTTTTTTAATCTGGCCGTTGAGTAATAGGCATACAGTTTGTTGGTAGTAATTAGTGGCAAGTATTCGAGTACAGAACTCGTATTTTACCCCACTTAGGACTCGTCAGATGTTGGTACTTGCCTCCTAGCGAATGTTGTTCACAATGGGACTCAAAACAGGGACTGATTGCTTATTTTTTCGTTATCTGGGTCTGAAACCTCCCTTCTACTTAGTTATTGTGTATACACTAGTCTTTTTTTTCATGAATTTATTTAACGGCTGAAAATACGTAGAGAACCATTTCAACGGTTCTCAACAAGCATTTTGTTACAATATATCACTAAATCAATAACTCCAATTATGAAAGAATCATTGCAACTAAAAGTTAGTAAACGTTGAGAATAGTTATTGTTAATTAGTTTAAAGTAATATTACGTTATGGTTGAATGATTATTACTCGTGAAAACTGAATTTTAAACTCAAATTATCCAACTGATTTGGTGTAGGAAATCAGAACAACTGACCTAAAAATATTATTTAATGATGAAATAAAAGGCTAACTTTCACATAGGAAATGTTTAAGAGAATAAACCTAATGAAAGCTCATTTTACATACTATTAATAAGAAGTTAATACAGAGTGAATAGTATTGACCAGATACAAGCTATTATCATATATTAGAAGGAATTTAATTTATCTGGTCAAGAAAATATTTTCAAGTGCATGTTCTGTGTAAATGCCCAAAAAGATTACGGAAAAGCTGAACATGTCAAGGTATGTGAGAAATCAGAATAGAAATATGAAGTAGTTTTGAATATGGTAGGAAAAAAAGCTTGAGATCGATGCAATCTACTGATGATGAGACTGCGTTAAGCATCCACAGTCTTACAGACTGATTGCAATGTTTTTGG